AAAAAGAGGGGCAAAGATGGCAAGGGTCACCAGAAACCTTTGACCATGTGTAAATTTGATGAACATTTCCACCAAAATTATAAAAAAAAAATTAGCTTTATGTTCTGTAGGATAAATTAGTCAACTGTGGAATACTGAGTGGCAAATGAGAATATATATTAAAGCACTCTGAAAAGTTCAAAATCATCATCATCATTATTATTTTAAGGTTGACTTCAGGCTAGTCTTGAGAAAGATTCAAAACAAGGAGTTCCCTTATGTCTCCCCACTTTCTTCATGGGGTAGTAGAAAGAACGCTAGATTTGGAGTAAAAAGACCTCGGTTTAAAGCCAATCTCTTTTACCTACAGAGCCTAGACAAGAGACTTAACCACTCAGGGCCTCAGTTTCTTCATTTGTAAAATAAAGGGTTGGAAAAAAAGATCTCTAAGGACGCTTCCACCTCTGAATCCAAAGATTTTGTGCCAATGCTTCTGACTTAGGTTAGAGATTACTGGGAATGAAGTCACTCTCACTTCTCCAAGTTTGCCTGTAGAACGGGGAAGTTACCACCCCTGCGGTCCATTCAGTGAAACAATACTTTTTTTTTTTTGCCCTAACTCAGTATGCAGTAATGTCAGGTTTCAGAAGTCTGGTCTACTAAGCGAGGTCAGAAACTGTAAACACTTCAGCAGACTTAGCCCTCGGTCTTAACATGCCAAGAAAGAAAACTATTCTTAGATACTGTTTGCAGTAGGAGATAAATAAATATTTACCTATGTATGCATGTCTATACGGGAAGGGAAGGGGGGGTTGGTGGTGATTCTCTCATGATGCACCAACAAATTGGCACCAAATCCTTCAGTCAACAGCTGGCACTGGCTGGGTTCCACCATAAGACTTTGGTTGTGCAAACTGAGCCCCAGAAGCTGGGGGGAAGTAGGAAGGGGGAGGAGGGAGAGAGGGAATAAAGGAAAAAGAAGAAGAGAGACAGAGACAAAGACAGAGACACAGAGAAACAAAGACAAAGACAGAAGGACAGAGACAAAGAGAGAGACAGAGACAGAGAAAGACAGAGAGAGGGAGTGCTGAGAGAGAATGGGAGGCAGAGAAAGAGGGAGAAAGGGAGGTAGAGAGAGACAGAGAGCGGGACAGACAGCACTAAATGCTACTAGGTAGGAACAAAGTGACTTCCCAAAGCAAACTGCAGACATACACAAACAATAACCACCTCCCACGGTGGGAAAACTCTTCCTAATGGTTACTGCAAAAGATTAAAAAACATGAGGAGTAAGAAAAGCTAAAACCCTAAGACAAAATTTCTCCTCAGCCTTTACAGTTTGGGATCCTCACAATTTGTATATTTTTAAATGCGCTCTTCACCAGCAAGTTGCCATAAGATTAAGTTGTGTAAGGTCCAAGGTTCCATTCCCATCTTCCCCTGAATTTTAAAATCACTGCTCTTCTTGAGATCCATCAACTAATATTGCAAGTGCTAATTAAAGACTAAATACTGTGTAATAAATGCACATGTTATTAACATGCATGTGAGAGCTGATGCATCAGGGAGTATAGAGAGTAGGGTGCCAGTAAACATAAGTTCAAGTCCCAACTACAGACACATAGGGTCAGTTGCTATATGAGCCTGAGTAAATCCCCTAACATCGCAGAATTCTGGGCAGCTCTTTAAGATTCTAATTTATAAAGGAATTGCCCATAATAACAGTACTCACCTCATAGGATTATTGTGAGGAACAAATTAAATCATAGATATAAGGGTGTTTATAAACCTTAAAGCACCATATGAAAGTTATTGTTATTATTATTATAAGCAGCACGACATAGTATCTAGAAAGCTGGCCTCAAAGCCAAGAAGACCTGGGTTCAAGTCCTACCTTTTTTTTTTTTAACTTTTAGGTGATTGGGGTTAAGTGATTTGCCCGGGGTCACACAGCTAGTAAGTATCAAGTGTTTGGTCTGAGGCCAGATTTGAACTCAGGTCCTCCTGACTTCAGGGCAGGTGCTCTATCCACTGCGCCCTACCTAGCTGCCCCATCAAGTCCTACCTCTTACATTTATTGGCTGTTTGAGCCTGGGCAAGTTATTTAACCTCTTGGTGCTCTAGGCAACCATAAGTTGCAGAGAAGGTGCTGACCTGCATTGGTAAAGGACGTTTCCTCACCCAGGAGTCCCTAATATCAATGAAATCAAGTCTATTCTCTAGCACTGCAGTTATGCCTTCCTTATCGTAACTTTCCCTTTCACAGTTTAGATACATCTCAGGTTGGCGTGAGAAATTAAATGGAAATTTGGCAGAAGTTTTACAAAAGTCACAGATGACACGCAAAGGCCAGAAAATGACACAGAAAAAGTTTAGAAACTCAGAAATGCACAAAATATATATATAGTATTGTATAATATCAACCTATTTTATCTTTTAATGCCATAATAATTCAGACTTCTTTTCTGGTATGAAGGGAGGCCCAAAAATTTTACAAGGATTTTCCACATCATGTGGGCACTGCACCCCTAACCCCTGTGATTTGGAAGGGATGAGTGTATTATTATTACAATTACTTCTATTGTATGTGTCAGTGAAATAAGTTTCCACGCCAGCAGCTAGTTCCTCATGTCAATGACAACACAGGTCCAGGTCCTTCCCTCCCCCCCAAAAAAATCCACCAAACTGCATATATGTAGGAATTTACATGTGTGTACATATAGAATAGCTATACATATTCCATGTTCTTGATGCTATTCAGAAAAGAAGAAAAAAACTCCCATGCCAACTCTGTATGGCACCGAGCCAGATTTATAGGCTAACACTCTATCTGAAATAAACATTGTTATTGATGATGATGATGTATGTGTGTGTGTCTACACACACACACCTACATACAGTACAATTAAAGTTTCTTCATAATACACTTAATAGAATATTCACAGTAACTTAATACTCAGTGCTGAAGCACTAGAACAGATACAGATGTGCAGAACATTATTACTAATGTTAGTTGGCCTAGTGATAGGCACCATTTAAAAAGGAAACTCCCCATCATTACCCTCAAGGAAAAGCATCAGGGTCTGCATATTTTTTATGGGCTAGCGCTATTGATTAATGCTACATATCTCTTACTCAGTTAACTACTAATATCTCATAGGGAATATCAACACAACATCCCAGCTCATAGTGCTTAGCACAATGTCTTGACCATAGTATGCATTTAATAAATACTTGTGGAATAAGTGAATGACCATCTAAGAAGCAATCCTAAATCATTAGTGAATCACTGTTTCAGGTTAAGAATAAGTTAAAATAATTGAGGAAAGGGAAAAAGGTGTGAGGAATAAAGTAAAAACCATGAAATTTTCCCAAACTAAAAGGCTCTTAAGAAACAAAACAAACATGAAATGTATTTGCCATCCAGACTATCATTGTATAACAACCGGTCAGCCTTCCCTGAAACTGTGCTTGCCTTGAAAGAAAGGGTCGGCTGACAAAGGTCCTCTGCTTTGCCTTCCTGTTGAAAGGTGCAAGCCCGGTAGTCTGGGAAACAGGACGCTGATTTACATGTCTGGTGGATGTGGTCTTCCCATCTCCACAGTTCCTTCATTCTCATGGAGAATCTATTCCGGCAAAAGTTTGAGGGGTTTTTTTTTCTCTTCCTAACAAAGAATGCTACCTCCCACCCCCAGTTAAAAACATTTTAGAGTAGACAAATGCCCTTTCCGCTACCACATAACATTAAGCTATAGAGCCCCGGTGTCCTCCACAATCATCACTGATTATACATACAGAGGAAACCTCATAAATAAACCTCAGACATTATAAACTACAGTTCAAAAATCTCTAGAAACGCCTCCTCACAGATGTCCAGAATCCAACCTCAAAACAAAGGGAAGTTCTTTGATTTTTGGTTGGATATTCATTGTTTCCTGTTTATTCCAGGGTGATGGTCAAAGAGAAATTCATCATGCCGGTTCCCTCTAAGTCTCCTAGGCAAAACACAGATTAAGTGTAATAACAGCCTAAAACAAGGTAATAGACTTCCCAGCCAAGGCAATGAGCTTCTGATGACCTTGTTCATATCTCCTGATGCAAGACTGATCAGTAGTAGATAAGACAGGTAAGACAAATCTAGATTAGAACTAAGATAACCATAACAACAGTATCTATGAGTAAAAACTGGATTTGTTTTGTGGTTAATTAGGGTTGGGTTCTGTGTTTGCATGTGGGTGCCTTTCAGACAGCCCTCTCACCTTCCTCATTTTTCCCCTGAAAAACTTCTCTGCATGGGCTTTCCCTACCAGCCAAAATCACAGCCGACTGGAGTTGGTCTACCTGGGGCTAAAGCCGGATGAACTCTTGGCTCCTACTACCGCAGCTGCACTCTGTGCTATACAAAATTAACTCTTGCCATTGCAGTTGGCAAGCACACGGTGCTTATAAGAGTGACACCAGGCACAGTACAAAGGGAACCGACTAATTATCTGGAGTAATGGTAGGAAGAGTAATTTTCTGCAATAACAACGATGCCCAACAGACCAGCAAAAACAAGGCTTGCAGTGACTGGGATTGCAAGGTGCAACCCAATTCACCTCTGCAACCGGGTCGGGGAAAAATCCCACGACCTAAGGCAGCTTCCTCCACTGCTGCACCATCACGGTCCAGCCGGTCCCCACCCTGTCGCACAGACAGCCAGACAGACTGTGTGCACTTCCAGTCTCCAGGGAGAGAGGAATCGCAGGCAAAGGCGAACACAGAGGAAGGGCGGCGGTGGCGGCTCCGTTCTGCTCCTACCCAGGACCAGCCTCCCACTCCCACCCTGACCCCTGGAAGTTCCCTTAGGTCCGGCTCAGCCCCCCTGGACGTCCCATCTTCCAGTTCCCAGTATCGTCCTGTCCCTGTTTCCCACCCCCACCCCTGCTGGATGCGATGGCTGAACTTGGGGCCAGACGTCTGAGACCTACCCAGACACCTACAGTCCCAGCTCCCTTAAGGGAGTTCCAAGCCTCACTCACCTGCAGCAGCCCCCTCCCTCTTAAGGACCGAAGACCGGTGGGGAGACGGAGGCGGGGAAGTAGAGAGGGGAGGGCTGCAGACAGGCTCAACCCGGACCAGACAGTCAGGAAGGGACCGCGCAGGAGCCGCAGCTTCCCGGCCCGAGACCCAGGGGCGGGTGTGCTGGGAGAGATGCCCTCGGGGCGTGCAAACCCAGAGAAGAGGCGTGGGAGGGCCCGAGGGCCCGAGCTGACCGCTGGGGACGCACTAAGACTGAAGTGTCTTGTCTCTTTAAGAGTCGGAGACCTTAAACTTGGGCCTCCCTCCCCCTCCCCCTTTCACTTTCCCAGGGACTTTCAGTCTGTCTGGCGGCGGTGGCGGGGACTGCGGCTCCTCCCCGGCTCTCAGGGATTCCCCGGCCGGGGCTCGGGAGCTGCGGCCGTAGCGGCTGCATCTCCACTCCTGACACCCCGGCGGGAAGTCCGGAGCAAGAGAGGAGCGGAGAAAGAGAGAAGGAGGGAGGGAAGGAAGGAAGGAGGGAGGGAGAACGAACGCGGCAGTGGTGGCACTTGCCTCCTTCCCGGAGCCCCGCAGCTGCCCCTGCCTGCAGCAGCAATCCCCTCCCCAGGCTGGGGAAAGGGAGGCGGGGGAGATGCGGGGAAGGGGTCGGGGAAGGTGGCGGAGGGAGGGTGCCGCTGCTGCTGCCACTGCTGCCTGATAGAAAGTGTCCTACCTCCTGCTCCTCCTCCTCCTCTCTTCCTCCTCCTCTCCTCCTCCCCTTCTTTTTCTCCTCCTCCTCCTCTTCTTCCTCCTCCTCCTCCTCTTCCTCCTCCTGCCGCCGCCGCCGCCGCCTCCCCCTGTCTGTCTCCAGCAGCGTATCTGTGTGCGCGGAGGGCTGTGTCTGTCTCCAACTCATTCCCAGTCTCTCCTCCTCCTCCTCCTCCTCCTCCTCCTCCTCCTCCTCCTCCTCCTCCTCCGTCTGTAGCTAGTCGGTGACAGGCAATGGGAGAAGGGGAAAGGAAAAGGGGGGAGGGAGGAGGAGAAGGGAGGCGGATTTGGGGCGGGGGGGGCAGGGGGGAGGAGGGGAGCAAAGTCGGGGCGGGGGGGGGGGTTGTGGGGGAAGCTTCCAGCCCAGCCCACTGTGGTCGCGAGTCCTAGGCTACACTGACATCTGCCGGGCTGAGAGAAGAGAAAAGAAGAAAAGAACTATGAGGAAGGAGAGGGACTCAAGTTCAAAGCAAGAACTAGGCAGGGACTGGGTAGACTTAAGTACTCGTTGAGGGTGCAAAATCTAGGGGAGGAAGTAGCTTTAGACTGGGTCCCTAAGCAGACTGCAACCTAAGCAGAACGGAATTCTTCCTTTTGCAGCCCCGTATTCGCGATTATTTCTTAGTCTCCCCTTTGATGGGGATTACTTCATTTCATCATTTCGCACAGATGCTCTTGAATAATCGGTGCCTGGGGAGGGCAGCAGATTAAGGAGAGCGCCCACAACCACTGAAACCCAAAGGTGGATCAGTTCACAGAATTCCCCTTCTGTGGGTTCCGCCCCTAATTTAAACCTGAGGCAATCATTGCCTACCCACACAACTTGAATTAATTCGGATGCCAGCGTAACAATGATGACTGCTATTTATACAATGCTTTAAAGTTTGCAAAGCGCTGACACTTGTTCGATATGTGTCCGCTGAACGAGTTCATCAGATAAATGCTAAATCTCTTCCCAGACTGAAGGCAGAGAAAATGTGACTCCCAGAGCTGATCGTAAGTTTCTTCAGCGATACAAAGCTTCTGACAGGCTCTCTTTCCCTATCAGAGTAATGAGAAAAAGTTAATACTTTTTCCTTACCCTTTTCTTAGAAACTTAGCTGCTTGAAAGACTTAAATCACACCTGGTCTTTCAAGTTGTTTCTGACTTGGGCTTCATTTGTATTAGGGAGACTAGACTCTCAATAAAGTGGTGGTATGGCTAACTGATTCTGGTTCAAACAAACAAACAAGCTATTCAACTTGATCTCTTTTAGTTTATGCCAGAGTCAGTCGGACGTTTAAACCCACTTTTATTCTTCTAGACCTCCAAACTAGATGGAGTTTCAAGTTCTGGTAAACCAAGCTACCTCAAAAATGAATGACTAGTGTAGACAAGACTCTATAAATCTCAGCTCTCAAAGAGAGTTCAGGGTTGTATGCAGTCACCAAAACTGGATGAAAAGAAAAAAATTTTTGTAGTCCCAGTAACCAACACTGAAACTGAATGCTGTCAAAACTGAGTCTCCAAATAAACTTTACAAAGCTCACCTCTCGGTAGGGTTGGGGCAAGGGAAGGTGGGAGGGGAGAGCAACCTTCCCCACCCCTCCCCAACCCTTACAAAAAAGCTAGATAACTAAAAATGATCAGGACAATCCCCAAAGAAGGGCAAAGCTTTAAACATAGTTTCTCCTTTCATCCTCACTACAACCCTGTGATAGGTGCTGTTACTATCCCCTTTGACAAATGATGAGGAAGTTGAGTCTGAGAGAGGTTCAGTGGCTTAACCTGGGTCAAACAGCTAGTAAGTGTCTGAGATACAATTAAACCCAGGTCTCCCTGTCTTCAAGTCCAGTCTTTCTCAACTGTACCAGAAAATCAGCTCTTAGGAGTAAAATTACACTTTTTGTATCCAATTAAGAATTGTAAAGGGTGAATTTTGGGATGCTTTAAAAAAAAAAAACTTGTGTAGTTCCACTAGCACATTAGCACAGTCTGATTACTACTCAATAATAATAATACAATTCAATTCAGCAAGTGGTACCTTCTATTGCTCACATTTGCATGGCTTTGTACAAAGTATTTTTATAAACATTATACCATTATCTCCATGTAACAATCCTGTCAGGTTAGGCAAGGCATCTTATATGTCAGAGCTTCTTAAACTTTTTCCGATCTTGACCCCTTCAGCGCTTCTTAAACTGTGGTCTCGATCCCATATCCTGCAGTTTAAGAAGTGCTGTTATAGATGACAAAACTGATGCTTGAAGACATTGCCTAAGGTCCCCAAGTGACAGCCCTGGGACTAAAACACAGATCTTGTGATCACTGGTTCAATGCCCATTCCACATAAGCACCATATAAACTAATGACACAATTATTTTAGTATTTAATATATTAGGTCTTCCAGTGCATTCAATCATGGAATCAGGGAAAGAATGTGTCATTGCCATTGTGGGCAAAAGGGTAAAACACACTCCCCCTAAACAACCACCACCATTACTTATGGCAGGTACTAAGACTACCAAAGTGCCAACTTGAGGAAGGCACCAAACCCGGGCATTGTTATGTTACCCATAGTACCTCCATTCCAAGAAATTCATTCCTTTGAATCAAGGGTACAATCTGGCCTCAGCCTCATAATTATAGTGAATTGATTAATCTTGCATTGTCTTTTCAGATTAAGTATCAGAAACCCAAGCTCTTTCTAGGAAGGAACATGATCTGTCTTCCCTGTTTTCTCATTCTCCTTTCTCCTTGGGCAAAGATGGTACAATAAGTGCCCTGAATTTCAGCTGCCCTTCCCCCACTATCTCTCTAGGCTGCGGCATTAATGGGAGAGAAGGGTGACTACAGGCTAAAGGGAAGGAAGGAATTACATGCCAAACATATGGATGGCCAAGAGTTGGAAGTGTTTCAGTCTTCCACAGTGTCCTCTGTACAGTCATTGTAATGTATCTATAGCCATGATTGCTCAACATTTATTGGAAATGAATGTGCATAAGTTACACTCTAGTTATATTGAGCCTTACATAATAAAGGACATCTGGGAGAAAATAATATTAAGTTGGGGGTAAAGCATTAACAATTCATGTCAACCTTAGGGTCTTAGACTTAGTGCTAAAGGGATCCTTGAGATAGATCACCTATCCAACCTCCTTATTTTATAGATGAGGAAACTAAGGACCACGAGGAGCAAATGACTTACCCAAGGTCAAAAAGCTAATTAATTCAAGAGCCAGGATTCCAACCAAAGTCCTCTGATTCCAAATCCATCTTTCCTTCCTTTGGACAATGTTGCATTTCAGCCACTTTTTCCATTTCACTTTTTTTCCATTTCAGTATGCTATTGCAAAGAGATGAGGGTCTGTTTAGACAATTACTCCACTTACAGTATGTGATAAAATGCTGTGCTCTGACATATTTATGAGATGAGAATATATCTTCATAATTCACTAAGTGTGAATAAGTCCTGGGCCCTTCCTTTAGATGCAAAAGGAAGTCTGTTCCAATTGGCCAAGGAACTAAGTTATGCCCTCCTGATGCTTCAAAGTTCTTGGGGTCTTCTTCTGATCATAGTGTAAAGGAGTCCTAGACCAAGGCCAAGTAATTCCTTCTCAAAGGAGGCCCTCTCTCCCACCATCAGATAGACAATTGTTCATATCTAGTGAACAATTAAGTAATGTTCTTACCCAATGAAAGTATCAGAGCTTAGCATCTTACCACATACTTTAAGTGGGGTGTGTAGTTTAATTGATTTACTCAATGGTGACTGGACTCTTACATATATAAGGATCAGTTAAAGGAACTGTAGATATTTAGCCTGGAAAAGAGAAGAGTTAGCCAAGTTAGCAAAGAGAAGACATGATAGCAATCTTCAGATATATGAATACCTATCCTGTGGAGAAGGAATTTGTCATGTTCCATTTGCTTACTATTAGCAGAACTAGGAGGACAAATTATAAACTGCATAGATGCAGACTGAAGCCTGACCGAAAAAAAAAAACTTCCTAACAATCATAGTTGTCCTAAAGGGAAATGGCTTGTCTCCTTTGCCAGATGTCTCCAAGAAGAAGCTGGATGACCATTCAGGTTAGTTGTAAAGGATCCTTGGTCACATGTGTTTTGGACTGGATAGTTTATTCCAACTTTTCGCTTCTATGATTCTATTATCCTAAGTATGAAGTTAAAGGAAAAAGAGAGAGATGTCCCAATACAAACAGTTGTCTGAACCCAGAGAGCTCGTTTATTGAATGAAACTCACAAAGAATCCCAAAGCTTCATTATAATTAATAACATCAGCTCTCTTCCCCACTAGATCTCTTATTGGACTGAGAGAACTGAAATTTACTTATTTAAATCTTATCTCTTTTCTTTGCCTTTACTCCATTTCCAGTGAAAG